CGAAAATTTGAAAGGAATTGGCGATTAACCAAACTGGAAGAATCTCGTTTAATCTGGACAGACAGTCTCAAAACTTATAAGAGGGGCCTCCGCAATGCCAGAGCAAACTATTACTCAGCATTAATAGAAGACAATAAGAACAACCCCAGGTTTCTTTTCAGCACTGTAGCCAGGCTGACTGAGAGTCAAAGCTCTATTGAGCCTTGTATTCCTTTAGCCCTTAGCAGTAATGATTTTATGAGCTTTTTTTCGTTTGTTTGTTTGTAATTTATTGATATTATTGTTATTATTATTATTATTATTGACATTCAGCATCAGGCATTTACATCCGGTACATCACTGGTACATCATATATCTGTTGTCTGCCTTAAATGCCAAAATGATATTTTTGTTTTATGTTCACATAGTGAAAAGAAAGACCAACAAACAAAAAAACTATGTACAAGTAGGGAGTGATCTTTTCCATACAACATGGTCACACATTTGTGAAAATAAAATCAGGCCTATGAGGTGTGACATAGTCAACCCAGTTTTTCCAGTATGAGGCGAATTTCTCCAATTTATGGTTAACAAATGCTGTTATCCTCTCCATTTTATAAATGTCCATTGTGATTTCCATCCATACATTGAAAGTTGGGCTCTCCTGTGATATCCATTTCCTGGTAATAGTCTTTTTACAGGCCACCAGCAAGATATTCATTAAATGTTTATATCTTTTCAGCCATTCCTGAGGTATGTGTCCGAAAAACACAGTCTTACTCTCAAAAGGTATTTCGCATTTGAAGATATCTTGTAGGGCATTGTGTATCTCTCTCCAATAATCCTTCTTGACAGGGCAGTCCCAGAAAACATGGTAATGGTTTGCATTTTGATTTCCACAGTTTCTCCAACAAACAGGGGAGTTACTGTCATAGTGAGACTTCTGAGAGGGTGTAATAAAGTACCTAATCAGGCTTTTCCAGCCAAATTACCTCCACTTAAGTGAGCTGGTAAACATCCATTGATAGCTCCATATTGTTGTCCATTCTTCCTCAGATATAGTTATCCCTCCTTCCTTTTCTCCCTGAGAACTACTGTATATGTTTTCAACAAAGTGTTTTATATTTTTTGGTGTAGTGTCTGACCACTTGATAGTGTCTGTCTTTTTGATGGCTTTGTTTACGATTTGAGAGCAGTGTTTGGTTTTGAATACAGGTAAAACTGTTTTGAGGTGAAAGTTTGATTTTGCAAGAGGAGTCAGAGGTTTTGTGATTATTGTTTGAGGATATGATTTTGTGTTTCAAGAAAATTGAGCAAGGTTTCAGAAAATGTGTTTTAGCAATTGAGAAAAACTGTAAGTAGCCTACACTTGAGTGAACTTTGGGTGCACTTTAGGTGTACTAAATAATAATAATAATGGATGGGGGAAATGTATAAAGTAGACCCAAACTATCAATCTATAGGATTGAGCCACTAAAAAAATAATGCCCATCTAAATGATTCTTGCACACTGTCTCTTGATTTTTGTACATTATTTGTAATTGGTAAATTGGTAAATAGGTAAATTATGTAAAATAGCATTATGTCATGTCATTTAATTATCTTTTGACAAAATTACAATCTCTGTCTCAAAATATAGAAAACTGTTAAAGGAGAACTGCAGCCGTTTTTAACCCATAGCCCTGTTGATCGAGGTTACCGAGTGCTGTCAGTAGGAAAACTAACGAGAACATTTGGCACAACATTGACTGAATATCAGAAAGGCAGCTAAAGTGAACCTATGGGGGCAGCCAATCTTAAGTTTCACTCTCAGTTTAACTGCCCACATAGGTTCCCTTTAAAACATAAACTTGTCATCCATGATTGTGTCATGTTTGAGTAGACTTTTGCCATTCATGTGAGGTTTGAGTTCATGATATTGCAACATGAGTTTATTTAATATAGAGTTTCTTTCCCTAAGTCCAAGATGGCGTATTCCACTGTCTGTGGACATGGGTTCAGGCGTGGAGAGACTGCCTACAGATGCAGGTCAGAAGCTCACACTTCATGCTCATGTCCATGCATACTCTTGTAACACACAATTAAGCGAACTACTGTCACCACATCAATTAATCTGGTGTCTGCCCTAAGGTTAACTTTAATCTGTTCCTCTGTAAACCCACAGCTCTGTAGTGCTGCAGGACCCGGAGTTGAGAAAACTGGCCGAAGCTGTGATTGGTCCCTTGAAGAGTGGGCTTCAATCCTTCAACACCGTCACAGACTTACTCCTCAGCGTGAATGCAGACATCATCCTTCCTGGATGCCAGACCTTTGATGAGATCAGGAAAGAGATTGAAAGCATGAAGCAGGAGTTAGAAAGATCAGAGCAGGTGGCCAAACAGGAGCTTCTAAAGCTGGATGGGGACACTGAGCGTCTCACTGCAGAGCAGAGTTGTTTAGCCGAGGAGAAACAGAAGAGAGAGGGGGAGTTACAGAATTATAGAATAGAGCTGAAGTCACATCAGGAGTCTTTAGAGAGGAATCAGGAAAAACTGAGAGAAGCGAGATGTCGTGTGAAGAAGGCAGAAGAGGCCTATGACGACATGAGTCGGAGGAGAGATGAGGCCCAGACAAAGAGGGATGTTGGGATTGGTCTCATGGCGATCCCAATCGTTGGATGGATTGCTGGTAAGAAAATATTTACTCTATCTTTGAATTAATTTAAACAATCAAGTGATCATTGTATTTTTAGCACTGCTGGTATTATGAACACTTTAATTATCAATATTCTTTGCAGGGTCAGTCTTGGTTGGTGTTGGCCAGGTAGACATGGATCAGGCCTCTGACTTGATGGAGTCTGCTAGGAGTGAAGTACGTGAATTTGAATCTCAGGAGGAAATGTTCTCTAGAAATGTATCTGAGTATGGCTCCAAAATTAGTCAAACTCAGGCCAACATTCAAACTACAGACGATAGGATTCGTCAGACAGAGGCCTCACTGCAGGACTTGTCCAAGAAGCGGGAGGTCGTTGCTGATATCCAGGCTAAAACTAGACAAGCTGTCCGTCAACTGGGGAGGCTGAGTGGGGTGGGGAGTGCGGCGGAGCTGCAGACCCGACGTCTGATCCTGCTAGAGCCAGTCATGAAGGTGATGGAAGAGATGACATCAGCACTGGGGCAGATCACCGGAGATCAGTTGCTGCATTCAGAGGGCATCCAGAGCCTGATGTTGGATATGAGAAAGAACAGGGAGAAATTATTCCAACTTGCTGACACCAGAGATACTCATTCAGATGATGACTATTACTAATGTGTTGGTCCTTCTCAGACATTGCTAGAAGGTTCTTTTTTATGTGAATTCGCATTTTTTCTAATGCTGATTATAATGTCAGAGCGCATACAGAGCCTCATGGGATATGAAGGCAAACCAGAAGAAATTACAAATATATCTATGAATGAAGATCAATCTGAGATTAGTTAATACTGACAAAAAGGAGTGTGTCCTGTGTGCTTTAGTGATTCATATAAGGCACATTTTAGTTAGTGAGTTTACTGAGAGATGCAGGAAACTTGCAGCAACCAGCTGATATACTGGTGCAAATTCCCCATGGTAAGAATGAGTCCTTCTGCAATGTTGTTGATGGTGATGTATTTAAATTCTCAACTGTGAGGCAGCAAGGGAAGAAAGTAAATATTTACGCGTTAATTGATGGTGATGATCAACAGCTGAGTTTTATTAGTTTGAGGTGATATTTGCATCAGGCTCAAGACTGTAAACAGATCATCACAGACACATCACATGACATGTCTAAAGATAAATGGTAGTGGAACACTTGGAATTAGCTTCCTGAAGATTCTACTTTACTTTGTAAAGATGAAGAATTTCAAATCATTTTCTGTCTACATTATTTCACTGTTTATTTCTGCTCAAATTGTTTGTCACTTTGTTTTGTGGTGAAGTTTGCATGGGTAAATAAAAGAATATGGAATCTTTATTCTATATCTATAAATCCAAGGAATGTCTGTCTCTGTGTGTCTCCGTGTGTTCCTCACATCTCTCTCAAACTGCTGACAGACTCTGACTTTGGTAGGTGTATTGCTGAGGGCACAAGTGAGAGCAGTTCAAAACACTTACAGTTTTGTTGTTGTTCCAAATGATTTGCCCAACACTGGACCTAAGCCTGAACACCATCAAACAAATTACTATTCTATTTATTCTCAACTGTGAGGCTGATTTTTTTTTTCTCTCAAACTCCAAACTTTGGGATGTGTTTCAGTTTGTGGACATACAGTTAAAGCCAAGGCTTTGATCCAGTTCACGGAACGAAAACCAGAAACTTTTTATGTGTCACTTGGAACAAAAACAAAACCAGAAACTTTAGATTTTTCTATGGTCCGGCGTACGCACTGCTGTATTTTGTCAGATGGTGGCACACAGAGGCAATGCAGAGCAACAACAGGCCTGCTGGATCACGAGTCTGTGAAGTGTCTATTAATATAAGGGACCTATAATGAATAAATTCCTTTAAATCAGCCTCCTTAATAAAGACATTATCCACAGAAGGGGAACGATGCAGCATTTTCAACTTAATAAAACCGTTTAGAAATCATTGTGATGGTTAAATGACATGTTCTGGCCCCTACCATCTCATCGCCAAGAATGAGCCCTGCAACATATCCATTTGTGTTCAGGAAAGTTTGAAACAGGAAGTTTCAAGTTTTAAATCGTGATTCTTGATCACAAATACACTGTGATCATGATGGTATTTGAAAAGCTTTTGATTACATACAGTTGAGATATAGCAGACAATACGATAAATAAATGACATTATTATGTCACTATCTCATGTGGCCGAAGACGACACGTTACTACAAATTCATGCATTTCACAAAACTACAGTTTGTTGATTCAAAGTAGGGGCTTTTTCTTGGTGTGACGATGACATTGTGTGCCATCATTGCAGCCATCAGACCTCACAACAACAACAATTTTGATCAAATGTGTGCAATAATGCATGTGGAATAATATTCCTCTAAATGTTGTCAACAGTCATCAGTCTCTATCCTGTTTGGTTAAATGACGCAGGGCCATGCACACTGCCAACTTCTTGGACTTCCACATCTCTGGCACCAGTGGGCAGCATATGCACATGAATTAGACGTCACATGTGTTGATTTTTTGACTGTAGACTGTTATTGTGTGTGTGTGTCTTTGTCGCCCTCTCCAGGAGCTGAAGGGCTGGTGAGTCAGCACCATGGAGGTATTGTACAGAAACCTCCACAGTTATTGGTAACCCTGGTAAAGCTCAGACTAAAATAACTACACACAATTCCCTGATAATACTCTAAACATAGAGATTGTCTTTCCACACAGTAAGAGCTGTGTGCAGGGTGTCCCCTTGTTACAAACACACATTGGCAGAGTTCCCTGTGAATTGGCCAATTCCGCCCAAAGTGATAAGTTGATAAGTTGATTCATGTAAGTGGAGTTTGTAGGTGTGGAGGCTGAGGGATTAGGGGATATTAAGATTTGGCCAAACACATTTGAAAGATAAGAAAACCAAACAATTCCACAAAAGAACACTAGAGAAGAGGGAAAATCGACCAGGAGGAGGAATCAGACCTGTGTAGCTAGTGTGTGCAAGGGTGCAGAATGCAGTGGTCATTTGTTTGTGCTGTGTAAACACTAAAATGTCCATTGATGTTGTTTTCACTTCATCAGTTTTGATTTATTTGAGTACATTCACTACATCCTACAGAATAGACAGTAAACTTCAATGTAATCACTTATCAGTGAAGTTATAGGTGAAAAAACTATGACAAATACACATATCTGATATAAATAGGCCTATCATGTGTGGTTTGAAACACTGCTGACACAATTATATGATCAAATAATGGTTGCTTGTACATCTTATTTTTGTTTATAGTCAGATGTGCACATAGAGGTCATAATTGAACCATGCACATCAACTATGTTTTGTAATCAAAAAGCTAAGTTTGTTCATAAAATAAGAAAGGAAAAGCGGGAATAATTATTTGTGATAACAACAAACATGTAATTAAATGAGTAACTGCAGCATTGATTGTAAAATATATCAATTTCAATAGATATAGCATGCAGAGACACATCCATGTTTGAAATCCCATAGGGAATGAATGCAGGTAATTTTTGACCCGTGTCTGCAAATTGGATATTGTAGTGCACAAACTGTGTTTATTCATAATGTAAAAATATGAAAATATAAATTATGACCTCTAGTAGTGAAGATGATTAATGGATATCTGGAGTGCTGATTGATAAAATAAATGTATTTCAACAGATGTTGCAGAAGAAAAACTTACCAAACAATAAAGAAAAGAAAAATGAAAAGGCACATTTCTCAATGTGAAAAACAAGTTAATTGAGGAATTCATGGAATATTCAATGATGAAATTATTATTTTGCAAGTTATGGACATTTTTCAGGCTTCCAGGTCACTTTTGACCCAGGTTATCCATTAAAGGGTTAAAATGTATTTACCTGCTGGATGAACCAATCATGACGCATTTGTGGTGTCAGAGAGAGAGAGAGACCTACAAACTTTGATTTACAACAGCTATAACAGAAAACTGTTTATTTGTAAAGAAAAGGGTCAGGTGAAGGGGACGTGTGTCAGCTGATGGGTAAGAAGCTCCAGAGGTCAATAAATTAACAAACAAACAAATGACTTCAAAGTGTGGTTACATGAGGCAGCAAACAGACGGCCCTCTACAACCAACATGCTGCAGGGCGTCATCACATCAACTGCTTATTTTCATGGACTCATCTGGTAGTGATGCAATTCATATGCAGACTATGGAGGGAGCAGGGAGGTGCTGGACTGATGAAGTGTTTTGAGAAATAAGAGAACTATGTCTGTGTCTGTGTGTGTGTGTGTGCGTGTGTGTGCGTGTGTGTGTGTGTGTGTGTAAGTGTGTGTGTGTATGTGTGTTTTCTTGTTCTCACAGTGACCTGTCGTCCTTGTCGGAGTCCGGTGAGACTGGCATGGACACGGAGAAGATGTCCTGTGCTCTTACTCTCGGTCGTTGGGTTCTAGGCGGGAGTGTGTGTGTGTATAAGTGTGAGTGTGTGTGTTGGCAGGTGAACGCCTCACGTAGTTTCCTTTTCTATTTCATTCTATTTCTGTGTTCCATTTTCATCCAGTAGATGGTGTCATCGAGCCAATAATACACTCTATATAGACACATATATAATTATATATTTTTTTTAAGTATTATTATTAGATGTAATTGGAAAAACACAGACACAGAATTAGTAGCCTAGTTTTTTTTGGTATTGTGGGAGAAAGTATTTGCATGAAATATTTATTGTACCATTCACAGAGAGCAGAGTTAGCTCACGGGGTCAAGTGAGGGTGCTGCGATTACAGTCTAAACATTATGGGATTGAATCTCACCGTCACCATGTTTCTCTTTGTGTGTGTATTAAAAAAATGATTAGATCAAACTGCAAAAGAAGAACAGAAAGTCTGAAGCCTAATTTTGTATTTTCTTCAGTATCAGCCAATTTTTGAAGAAAATATTTGACTGAAATAAATGATGATAACGCTCACTAGGCAAGGCAAGTTTATTTGTATAGCACATTTCAACAACAAGGCAATTCAAAGTGCTTTACATAAAATATACAGCAAGTAAAAGCAATAGACAACATAAAAAGACATTAATCACATTAATGTAACTACAGTTAAGTTAGAATTAAAACCTAGATAGGAGACAGAAATGAAACAGAATAAAAGTTTCAGTGCAGTGTGAGAAGAAGAAGGCTCAGATTTGATTTAATCAAAAGCAGCAGCAAACAGAAAAGTCTTCAGCCATGATTTAAAAGAACTGAGAGTTGCAGCACACCTGCAGTTTTCAGGGAGTTTGTTCCAGATATGTGGAGCATAAAAACTAAATGCTGCTTCTCCATGTTTAGTTTTGACTCTGGGGACAGAGAGCAGATCTGTCCCAGATGACCTGAGAGGTCTGGATGGTTCATAACGTACCAGCAGATCAGAAATGTATTTTGGCCCTAAGCAGTTCAGTGCCTTATAAACCATCAACAGCACACATAAATAAAGTTTTGGAACAATGTTGATAATTTTAGTGTTTTTATTTTTTTTAATCGTCATGACCAGTTTTCAATTAGCCTACATCTAATAATAATAATAATAATAAAACTATATATAATTATATGTCTGTGTAGACCCAGATAGCAAAGAGTCATTGAAACAATGTTTTATCAACATTAAATTATCAATGTTATGTCACTGAATCAACATTGAACTCTGATGTTGATTCAACATTTTTGAATTTCTTGTTTCTTGTGAATTTGGCTGTTTTGTAATTATTTGTAGAGTCTTGGCTTGCTCTGCTTTTATGTTTGTGTTGCTGTGTTTACCTGTTACTATATTTTTTTATCTTATATCTTAAACTGCATGCAATGATATTGTTTTAAACTTGTTCTAACTTTTTTATTACTTTTATTACTTTTTTATTACTGCCAGCTCAGATCTGGCCAGGGACTGCAGATGAAAACTAGCCTTTTGGCTAATTCCGGTATATTTACAGTTCACTGTTCATTAATATGCATTGTCCCTGATAAATAAACAAATAAACAAACATCAGTTTGCACCCTAAATTAATATTGAAACAATATTGATTTTCTGACTAAAGATCAACAATATTTCAACTGACATTAAACCACAAAAATGACTAAATATGTCAGGTAACTGGTTGGTATTTTGACAGGTTTATACACTGCTTTTTCTGGTAAATAAACCGTAGGCTACCGTACATAGACTCCTCTAGTATCTCATCTCATCAATAATACGACAAAGACCCCAAGAGCGTTTTTTGTAAACATGGAACAGTATTTGTGAGGTTATGTGTGTAATTTAAAACGTGTGTTCAATTAAAACAAGCTCTTTAAAATCAGGCAAGAGCGAGCAGCTGTTTAAAACCAGGAAAGTGCTTGGAGACTGGAAAGGGCATTTAAAATTATATTTATTCACAGAAATTAAAATCAGAAATAAAGTCAAAATGGTGAGAAGTGTCACCCGAAAGGACCAGGCCTGATAAAAGAAGGCTACCAAAGCTAAAATGGAATAAAACTAACTAAAAAGAGGATAAAAGTCAGCCTTATTCAGTCGAGCTTTCACTGCCTTAACTTTCATTCTTGTCATGCCGTGTGTCCCCCGATGCTGCCCAAGTGACGCAGTCACTGCCCAAACGCTGGATTTTGACAACTTCAGAGTGAGACCTGGTTGCTCCCAGTACCATTAAGCTAGATCATGTTACAGCTCAGCTGAGGAGGATGCCACTAATGTTCATGTCTCGCGCTGTCATGAGCATGAGCCTCTCATCCATGAGTAGATGTTGTCCTTGTGGTGGCTTGGCAACACTGATCCTCCACGACCACGCTGGTCTTCGACTTGCACACTGTCCTCTGCCGGGCGCAGACTCGGAAGCTGTCAGGGAAACAAGATGGCAGTCACTGCACTTTTACACCCAATACATGCACACCACTTCACTCGCGTCCTAGGATCGTTACTCACACCATGGGGGCAGAGTATCAACTCTGCCCGTGTTCCCTGTCGAGCCCTCAGATTTTCACTTAGTCTGGTAGTAAAGGCCCGTCCGCTGGCGACAGCTGTCGTTCTCTTTCTCCTGCTCCTTTCCCCGTGGATCTCACACTCCTCTTCCTCTGTCTGCTCATTGCATTACAGTCTGCTAAATTAAAGTCCACAGGTACCTGCTCAAAGGTGGAGGTGTAACTGGGATGGTCTGCAGGCTCCGACCACTCCGCGCTGTGTTCTGGTGTATAATCAGACAGTGGACACTGGCAGCTCTTGCCGAACCCAGGTTTATTCTTGTCTGTGTTTGAGTGACTCCACAAAGAGAGCAAAACACTGGTTTTAAACTTTCTATCTTCACAACACACCTCTCTCAGTCAAGATCAATGCAGACTGATTTTAAACTTGAGACTAACTCAAGAACATGTAAATGAAATAAAGTACAATAAAATATGAATAAACAAATGCCAAACATCTTACTCTGTTACATATATCATGCAATGAAACACAATCACTTGACACAATAAACCGGAAGTGAAAAATACATTTACTGAACGTGATAATGGGAGTACAGCATACACATACCTGTTTGACTGAGTCCACAAAGCGTGCAAAACTTTGTTTTTGGCTTTCTGTCTTCACAACACGCCTAACATGAAAAAAGGACAAGCTTAGTGTATCCCACAAGATAAAATGGTGAAAGCCAGACACATAACATTACAAGCAAAACGAGTTTTTTAAGCTCTCAAAACTCAGTTTTACAGGTAAAATAAATGAAACTACACAGCTTGTCTACGGTCCGGGTATCATCAGATAATTCGTAATTCATTCATAATTCAAAAACCAAAAACTGTAAATCTGTTATTTGATTCAAAACAAAAAAACAAGAGCACCCAAGAAAACCGTTTTTGGTGTCAGAATCAAACAACGAAAAACCAATCAAACCCAGCCTGTTTTTGGTTTTTGCCGATTCGTTTTACCGTTATTCCTTTTTGGATTGAATATTGAACAGGTCTGCAGACATTCAGCCAATTCCTTTTTACCACTGAAACAAAAAATGGAAGTCACGTGGTTTTTTCCTTTTTTCATTTTAAACCAAAGACAAAAAAAGAAATCACGTGATCATATGATCAGCATATGAAATATATTTTATCCAAAAAATGTGTGATATATTATTTAGTTGCGTAGTGTGAATTAATAGCCAAATTAATTACATATGTGGAAACAGCCTGTGTCGTCCTTTGTTAACCATTTCACATACAGATGTTACTCATTTCAGTGCCGCAGCCACAGTGAAGGGGATGAAATAATTGATCCAGGAGTAGCTGCAGTGCGCAACAACAACCAGCAGGTGGCACATGTGAGCAGCTGAGAGGCAGCGTCCAACTGAAACTGTTTGAGAATTAGCAGTAGGCTACTGTTATATTTTCTGCCGGACCTGTACAATATACTAACTCGTTACACACTCTTAATTTCATAAAGGACATTTATATTATGGTATTTCCACAAGGGTTAGTGTTAGGTCCCCTATTATTTAGCCTAATGATCTCCCTGAACAGTGTCATGATGTAGAACTGCAAATACAGGTGACGAGGTGGCCGCCTAACTGTGTGTCAGCATGAAAACCTGGACACAGACAACCCGATGCTCACTTTCACCTACTATACTAAAAAAGGCACAATACTGCTCCAGGGAAATCAGGTTAGCCTCAATGCCTTTGAGGAACTCTTTCCCATGATGAAGGCAGAAGCTCTGAGAGACCGACCCAGTACGAGCAGCAACACTATTGGAGACACATCACCGGAACAGGAAGAGGAGGATGACACAGTGCTCCCAGAGGTCACACAGTCAGGCCTGAAGCTAACAATCTGTAGGGTTGGGTTGGTTTGAGAAAAAAAAAAAAACGGTCAGGTTTTTGTAAAAAAAAACAAAACAAAAACAAAAAACGCATCAAGTCGGTAATACCGGATTTTCACCACTTGGGGGCACAATTGACTCATTTAAAATAAAAAACGACCTTAGGACAACAGAGTGACAGTAACAAGTTGTTTCTTTTATTCCTTACAAATAAATTTTGCAGCTGACTCAATCAGTGCAAACAAGGGTTGCCTCCTTCGTCTGGCTCAAAGCCAAAGTGTTGCCATAGTGGCGCATTCCTTGATTTCGTCGAGACTAAATTGTCCGCCATTATCGACTCCCCGTCACTATTAAACAAACTCCAGGCAACAATAAAGGCGCATGCGCACTCGCACCTCTTAGCTCAGTCCCCGCCCCACCCCCCTCTCTCTCCTGCTTGCTGTGCGCTTGGTGAAGAGGCAGACACAGGTGCTCACAGACTCTGGCGTACTATAAGCGGAGCGGACTCCACAAGGAATGTCCGCAGTCGTTCGGGCTTCCATAGTCGAGCACACTTCCGCATTGTAGTTTCCTGTAAAAATGTCCGTGAAACACTGCATTACCTACAATTCTTGCACGTTGTTTACACTCTTCTGTCATGGCATCCTACACTGACGACGAGGAAGAGGACTCAGCGGAGTCTGTGCGGTCGTAAAATCTGAGCTTCGCACGCACAGGGCTTGCAGACGTCCGCTTTTAGTCCGGGCAGACCTCCGGACCCAGAGGAGTCTCCAACAGCTAACACAGGCCATGCGTGAGCTGGAGGAGGAGAACACCACCCTACGAGCCCAAGCACTCAAAGTAAAGGAGGATGCTGCCGACAGAGACATCAGCTTCAGCAGAGAGCTACAGGAGATGAGGGAGCAACTTCAGGAGAAGAGATGCCATGTTTCATCGCCCAGTGACACACATGCAGCTGTCCCAACACCGACCCTCTCCCCTGCTGCAGAACCACCAGCTCCAAAAGACACTGGCAGCCTCCCCCTCTCACAGCCTTTACCCACCTCTCCGACCCTGACACCCAGAGATTCCCCTCCTGACCTGCCGCCCAGCCCCTGTTACACACAGAGCCCAGATCTGACAGACCAGCCAGGCCAGAAGCCCAGGCAGTCCTACTCATGGACTCAAATGGAAAATATATAAATGCCAAAAGCCTCCTCCCTGGCCTCAACACCACAGCCAAACGCTGCAGAAACACAGGCCATGCCATGGAGCTGTTTGGCAGGACACACTGGGGAGCCCTCAATACATCGTGGTGCATACAGGAACCAGTGACCTCCACACCCTCCACCAGGGCACTGCTGAGGAAATCAAAGGAACTCTACCTCCCACCTTCCTGCGGTGCCACTCCCCCCAGCAGCACTCCACACCTGAGTGTGTGAAATTTGTTCTCTGCATTTGATCCATCCCCTGAGGGAGCGGTGAGCAGCAGCGGTGCCGCACTCGGGAATCATGTGGTGATCTAACCCCCCAATTCCAACCCTTGATGCAGAGCGCCAACCAGGGAGGCAATGGGTCCCATTTTTATAGTCTTTGGTATGACCCGGCCGGGGATCAAACCCACAACCTCCCAGTCTCAGAGCGGACACTCTACCACTAGGTCACTGAGCTGCCCTCTTACTCCAACCAGCCACAGAAGACCCCCCCACCATCACCAACAGGCAACATATGCATCTGTAACCCGAACTAGGTGCAATCAAAGAGATGCTCCACACTGTGTCTAACAGGCTACTGCAAACATGAGGTATACAGACAGGGTGTAAAATTAACCTTTTACCTCGTCTGCCATTGGCTAGTGACCTCCAAAAATTTACCAACCAAACATATTTTTCACCAGCCAAATAAAAAAATTGTGCCTTATTTGAAGAAAAATAATTACCTTACGTTTTTAGTATAAAAATCCAACTTTAGGAAAATCCAACCCTGTCCTCTGTGTTTCTTTGGTGTGCTTGTGGCAAAGGCTGCAGTAGTAGTATCACGATACCACAGCAAAAATGAGGCAGATGTGCCTTTTGTCATTTATAAAAAGATAAATCACTTTTCTATAATACATCACTGATATTTCAATGGAATAAATTACTTATTGACTTATTCATACTTCAAAAACAGCATCAATAAGTGATTAACATAGGGGGGATCAAAATAAAATAAAAAAAATCAACCAGCCACCCTCCTCCCCTGACAGTCCCTCCATAAGTAAAGAACAGTCCCTAAAGTGCGGCAAGGTTTGTGGAAATGTGAACAGCTCGTTTCTCCTCTGACACATCACGTGCCTGTGTGCCGCCACAGCTCGGTTGTCCAGGTACTACTGGGCAGCACCAACGAAAGAGGAAATTACTGGACCTGGAGTCGGACTTAGTCGGAGAAGGCCGGTAAGCCGTTATCTTGCGCCGCAGAGCACTATGAACCTCCGCCGTGTTCCTGTCTGTGACCCCCGTTCAACCCACAACCGCCAGGATTCGCCTTTCCTTTCTGCCGGTTGAACATGACAATAGGGGCGCCCCAGCGCCCACTCCACTAACTTGACGTGGAAATGAGCGGTAGTCTAGAAAACTGGCGAGTTGTTGTTGTTGTTGTTGTTGTTTTGTTTTTTTTTCGAGGGCGCTCGCCCTCACATTGGTTGCGCCCAGGGAGGTCGCTCACGTTGCCCATAGCAAAAACTGTCCCTGGACACAGCTGGAAGAAATGGTCGAAGCACATAAAAAACCCACATGCAATTCAAAATTTTCCATCGGACACTGGCAGGTGTGTGTTTTTGTTTTACACGCCAAACTCATTTTTTACCCGCCGTTGGCGCTTGGCGGGTGTTAATTTTACGCCCTGTATACAGAGATATCTTAGATAAAGAACACACACACACACACAGATACAAAATATTAGTTTAAATGTATTAAAAATTAGTTGCTCCAGATAGGTTTTCCATCTGTTTCGTTTTGTTCATGTTTTAGTTGAATTTATCTCTTTTCTTTGTTTCTCTAACTAATGAAATATTTCACAATAAGTTTTTGAAATATTCAGGGTTTGTACTCTAGTTCCTTTGGTCTTAAAGCTGTAGTGCGTAACTTCTGTCGCCCCCCAGTGGATAATGCGTTATTACAACAAATAAGCCGGCACTTCC